CAAAAAGAAATCATAACAATTAATTTACTTTTATGAAGATAGCACCATTATGCTAACACCTGCATGGTCCAGCAGAAAGAGACGGTCCCAAAGCCAGGCAAAAATTTTCACCCTTCAGAAGCAGCCTAGGTTTGGAGTTTGGCCTGCAGGTAGCTCAATGTGCAAAGCTATGGGAGAGCTCCTGCTTGGACTGTTAGGGACCTTCTGTGCCTCCAGAGGTGATGTTTATCAAATCAGATAGAAAAATCAATAGCAATAGTATCCACAGTGCAACCCGACTGTGAGCCATGAGCCTTTTCTAGAGCAGTTTTGTGGTGGTGGGTTACTATCTTCATCACTAGTTTTACAGAAGGAGAGATTCAGGCCAGAGGCCACAGTCATTTGTCTGAAGTCACTCCTATGTTATAAGGCCTGGGCTGTCCTGAAACCCACCCCTGTCACGGTCCACTTGATCATACCGCTGTCCCAGAGCTGGAAGTAAAGGGGGGATGGTCAGGGGTCACAGCCACTGGAGGGGTAGGGGAGCTCTAAGGTGATGGCAGAGCTGGAGTTAGAAGGTGCTACTCTTTCTTAATGTAGGCTGTTTGTCAAGGTAGGCTAGAGACCAGGGAGGGCTTGTTCTGAGGCAGCAGAGCACAGTCCACAGTATCCCCTGCTCCAATAGCTCAGAAATTAGCTCATTAGACATTAATGAATTAGACATTCATTTCACTTGTCTTCCCATTCCAGTCTTCCAGGAGGGGTGCCAGACTATCTGCATGGTGTGGAGAAGGGATGCTAGACCAACAGTGTGTGTGTATGTGTTGGGGGGAGAGTAGGAATCCTCCATGCCAAGGATCATGACCTGGTAGCGAACATTTCACTGGCAAGAAGCTAGTTTTGTGGTCTCACATAAAGGCAGAATGAGTCCATTAGTCTAGCCAAATTTAGAAGCACATTTAGGCAATGAGAAGCTTTTCCAAAGGAGTAGAAGCATTCGTGAAATCTCCACCCAAGCAGATTTTTCCTTCTCCTCTCTTCCTCTTCTCTTTTCTGAGGCATTCTCCCCTCTTCTCTCCTTCCATTCCAAGGAGCTTCCTCAGCTTATTGTTCCTGGGAGCTGGAGGGCAAGGTCTGTTCTCGGATCTGGGTTTGGTGGCGCCAGAATGGAGGGAGCCTGGAAAGAAGCTTCGTCTCCGAGTCTGGTGACACAGAGCAGGCAGCATCAGGGACCAGTGCAGGTGGTAGGCATGGGGGAAGACACTCCTAAGTGAAGCCTGTAATGCCTCTGCCTGTGGGAACCACTGCTGCTAAGGTTCAGAATCCAAATGCCTGTGAGCTCCCTCCTCGGCTTGGCCTGCTTCAGCCCTCTCCTTGGCCTCTCTTTGCTACTCTGGGCAGCTCCATCCACGTCTCTTTGTGATGTCTGGTCTGCACACACAATCCTAGGCTCTCTTCAAACCCACTAGTCCTTGAAGAGCTTTGGCCAGAAAGCACTGCCAACTACCTCCGCTCCGCAACAGATTGCAAGGCATGTGTATTTAATTCACACAGTGTGGAAACATCCTTAAAAGTGGGTTTGGGAATGGAAAGCCATCACAGTCTGGCACACTGCACAACACGATGCAGGTGCTCCACCTCCCTGTCCTCCACTGCACCCTGGGGTGCCTTGTGTTACACACTAGCTGGCTGAGCAGTGGGAGGGTGAAGAAGAACATGGATGGGAGGGCGTGCAAGGAAAAAGGATGTCACCTTGCGGCCTCTCAAGAGGAGCCATTAGCGGAATGAGAGACAGGAGTGGATCCTTACAAGAGGAGACCACTTGCCCCTTCATAGCAGGTCACTGAGGTGATCCAGGCTGCCTGAAGCAAAGGATGAGGAAGAAGAAGGTGCCATCAGCAGCTTTAAGAAAGTGGGCTTATCACAAGGAGCTGTCTCAATACTAGGGACCGAATGGCAGACACTTGGGGTAGTTCCAGAGTCCTTATCCTCAAAATGCAGCACACTGACTTCTTTTTAATTCACTCCATTCCCATGAAAGCAGACAGGGACAGTAAAGCATTTCCAGAACATCAAATGTCCCCAGATCCCACACAGTTGGAAGGGGACACCATACCAGACTAGCCTGTCTGGCCAGTATTACATATAGTCTGTCAGTGACCCACAGT